AATTATCACTTCAAATTTATTGAAATGCCGCTGACTCATTAAGAAAGAAAAATTGCCACCCTCCCCCAAGCTCCATTCACGGGTCTTTAATCATTCACTTGTACCTGTACAATCAGTTGTCACAAAGGATATGCAAACAGAACCACTCCAGCTGGTTGCGGTACGATGATCTTGAGGCAACGAAACGAGCCATCTCTGCCAAAATGTACTGCAAACACTGCAGTTAGTTATTGTTGATCAAGCGTTGCACATTATTTATCACATGCCTGCATCACTAATAGAAAAACTCCGATATATCAGCCTAGTTAGAGTGAAAGTAGTCGTTCTCCTTATATTGTTTTGCCCATCGAACTGACTTCACAGATAATAAGCTAGTCAGTAACCCGACATATTCGAAGCTCGTCAACACAGCAGCATTCGTTCCACTAATTGTAATCCATAGTCAGTCATTGGCTGCGATCTTCCTTGAAGGTTTAAATATTCATTCCAAAATACGGCACTTTCCAACGAATTGCTTCCACTACCGCATCTGAAGCAGCCGAATTCCTGAAGTTATAGTTCTACGAAGTTTTCGCTGCACGTGACGAAGTCGGATTGTAGCCTCCGTACCTTCTGCATTCTGTCCATGTCCCCAGCTGAGTATAAGCACCTTCGAGCCTGACACGGTAAAAATAAAATTGTTGGCATTGCCCAGGAATGCAGCGGGGGAGGATAAGATTCGTTCACCGACCCTGACCTCCTTGGCAAACTATGGGTCTGGAATAATTGCTAATCTACACCAAAGTGCCTGCGACAAGACGTCGATTCTTGAGTCCTCGAAATACAATGTCATCTCACCCATTTACAAAGTTAGCTGCCGAAGTAATCCCGCTAACTACTGTCTAGTTAAATTTCTTCGTGTTGACAAAGTGTTAAAAATTAGTTCGCGTAGCTCGGGGGAACTAAATTTAATTTCGCCTGTCCACCGAGCTTGGCAATTTGTTTGCAAACGTTGCATCAATAGCCGAGGTGACATCATCAGTGCTTGTGAAGTGGCAGTGTTCTGCTTGTATCCGTTCGTTTATGTATGTGTTCCTCCCCACCGACTATTTATTTCCCTGGTCCTCACTGTCTCCGGCTCTGTTCGCTGTTGAACGGCTGCGAGGTGGTGATGATGGGGTTGTTCTTCCGTCTTGATAGCGGTTTTTTGTCCGTTCTCAGGTCACGGGGTGACCAATTTTGTTCCGTCATTTGATCCTTGATTGTTTTGGCGTGGTTCAGTTCAATATGTTAGGCCTCGATAAATTGTAATAAGTGCCTAAAAGTCTATATCGAAAAAAGCTGGAAGAAAACCATTAGCAAGGATCCGTGAACAGCAATTGTCAGTCAGAAGACACGACCCACTATCTTTGATTTCCCTCCACGAAGATCAAGAAGGACATCAGTTTGACCTCGAATCAATGAGAATTATCGACAAAGCCCAGTCAAAACACGCCAGAGAATTTCTCAAGACCTGGCACTCTTCAACCAACTCAATAAACAGGCACATCGAACTGGATCACGTGTACACGCCAATGCAACTCAAGGATCGAATATCGCAAAAAAGGTCACGTCGTGACCTGAGAACGGACCAGAACCACAGTCAAGACGGAAGAACAACCCCTACCGTCACCCTGCTGACAGCAGTTCAACGGCTAACCGGGTCGAACACATTGAGAACAAGGGAATCAAACAGTCGGTGGAGAACATCAAACGAACGTCTACGAGCAGAACAATGTCAATTCACAGGCGCTGATGATGTCACCTGGGCTCGTGATGAAATGTTTGCAAACAAATGAAATCAGTTCTTGCTGATCCTCTGATGGAGTATTTCACGAAGTACAAGATTCCGTCATCTGCTCAACACGCACCACAAATCTGCTACTTGCACGTGACGAGAGGAGAACAGTCTATTTAAGAAAGACAATAGACATGGTCTACTTGAACTTTTCCCAAAGCCTCTGATACAGAAAACCACCATATATAGTTGTGAAAGTTTCATAACTACGGTTTTTGAGGACTGCTCCGTGACTGGATAGGTAAGCTTCTTCGCTAATGTAACACCTCTTTTCAGATGAATGGTTCTCGACCGGGACCAGTCGATACTGTCCTTGGAATTCCACAAGGATCCCTACTTGATAGCTTACATTTGCTTCACATTTGCTTATATTTGGGGTATAAGCACTGTTATTCACCAACGACGTCAAAACATGATGAACAGTTCATCATCCTGGAAATTATCAAACACTACAGGAAACACTGAACGCAGCTCTATCACCAATGAGATCTAATTCAACTTTGAGAAAAGTAAGGTTATATCACCGTGTTACAAGGATCCTTTCCATACGTACTTGGAAATCAACCACTACCGCGTGTTTCAAAAGAGAACGATCTGGGAGTTATTGTTTGTGAGAATCTGGAATGTTTCACACATTGCGGTAGAGAGCCATCACGGCCTCAGAGCAAGTTGGGTAATCCAAAACGTGTTTGTGGACCGTTTGAAACAGAGCTATTCCCCCATTCGCTATCAGCATACATTGTATCACACACCGAGTGCGCTATCCAAGTATGGAATACGTGGTTTGTTCGTGATAAAAAGCGCTCGAACGTGTGCAGAGAACAGCAACCAAAATGGTCAAAGGATAGCAATACAAGACCCACAGTGAAAGGCTAGATATTCTCGGACTTTGTCCATGTCAATATCGCCGAATTCTGGAATGCAAGATCCTCATATATCAAATATTACATCATTCTAACCAGCTGTGTAGTAGTTTGCTGAACCCACCTAGGAACGATCACATCAGGAAATATCTATTTAAAGTGTTGCTTCAAAAAAATCGCCGAGATTGCATATGTCACCGTTTCAGTCTCAGAGTTTGTAATACCTGGAACCCTCTTCAACTTCAAGTGGTTTGTGCTGAAACCATCGATTCACTCAAGTCCCGGCCCGTTGACGCACTAAAACATCTAAATAATCATCACCCGTGAGTGAAAGTTATACTTTGCTATTTAATTGAACTACCAGTCGAACCCAGTATATACAGATCCTATTGGATTCAATAGGTATCAGCTTTGTAAACTACCCTTAATACAACCTCTAAATCATGCACATTATAAACAGTTCTTAAAGCTGTGACTGTATACGATATAGAGTCTGTTCTAAAAGTTGCAACGCTCAGATTGCAAATAATTTGAGTGTCAGCATTAAGTTTTGAAGGCAAATTCTGAAGATCATTTCAAATGACTGAATGTGGTCGTATTGTCTTTTAGTGGTTAATTGTATTGCCTCTGTTTGTATTGCAGTCCGTCGTTATGTGGATAAATGCTGTGTGGCCAATTCAGTGCATGTCTGTTATGAATCGCATTTGAATCCAAACCAATTTAGTTTCCTTCATGTTTAACTCACAGTTACCTGTGAGTAGTGGTGTGGAATATTTGATATTCACTGAATAGAACTGGCCATTATTCAGACTGAAACTTCAAGCAAAATCCTGTTCTTCCAACCAACTATACACTCGGTGGCAATAGACTGGAGTTTCACTCCAATGGCGGTTCATCAATCGCGCCTATCCACCATCCCGTTCGCGCTTTGAACTCCGGACACAGCGCGGAATGCATGTTACTAATATTACAACCAGCTCATACTAAAGTGGAACCGAATTTACAATGCGTGTTTGTTCTTATGTCTTCTTCAGTGTAAGTCAGTCCGTTCATATTAATCCAACAGCAAGGAAGGGGGATACGGTTGACTATCATGTAACTACAATCAAGCCTTCAACCAAATCGGGTGTTCCCTGCAGGTTACTGATTGCTCGGACTCCCCAGACAGAACGGTAGACATGCACTGCTGATGAGCTCTAAAAAGAGTGAAACTGGAGTCTAGTACTTCTTTGTGTATGCTCGACTTGAAAAGCCGGGGAATGTGCTTGAAGGTAAATTGTGAAGGATGGTCAGTTCTAACCAATGAATAGGTTCGTTGATTGAAAAGTATTGCGGTAAACCTCCATATTTTCGATGGCGTCATTCAATTTGCGATTACGTGACGACTCAGCGAATACTGAAATATAAATTCTTCGTATTTGACTGCGGACAACGAATGACATCATGAATTATAATCCTTCATTCACTTGATCCAACACATTCCGGACACGTAGAATAACGCACTGGTAAAAGATCACTTTTAAAGATTGGCTCTATCGTTGATAGAACAACTGAAAGAAATGTTGACACTCGTCATCCACGTTTGTTATTCATGTCAAAATAAAACAATGAATAACGTCGAAAATAACGAAACCGTCCAAAATTTCTTTTAAACATAAAAATTGAAATAGCCGATTCGAACTATGGATAGCAAACGCGTGTTTATGGGCGAATATAAAACTGAAAAATAGATGTAGGTATCCATATTGATCAACATGTGGGAATGGTGAGGTTCTATAATGTGTACAGTTCGATGAGCAGAAGCGAAGAATAGCGGTTGTTTGGTTTGATTTTTTCCCCAATGCACCGGTAAGCATCATGTTTGAGGACGCGTTGCCAAGCATACTCAGATACTACGTCGCTTGGACTTGAGAAATGGTATCGGTTATGGAACTTTATGTTCGACTGGGTAATATCCCGTTGCTGATAAAATAACTAAGTGTTTTGTTTTGGTAAAACAGAAGTCAATATTAGTAATTACAATCTTAAAAGTAGTACACACCTTAGAAGAAAGACGTTATCAATTCTGAAGAGACATTTTGCAATGTGTTTGCCAATTGTGTGTGTATATACGTGTGTGCGTGTTTTGTCATACATAGGCAGTCAAGAATCACAAAATGCATCGGTGACAAAGCCATGTATCACACGACTTGAGGTACAGCTGTGCAGGAAGGATTTCCCCTGATGCTCACAGAGGGGAACTATTTAATTGTGTCACACAAAACACGAATGTGTTCAGCCGTATTTTCTGGACACAAGTGAGAGAGCATTAAACGGTGTGGTCACAATTTCATCTCATGAGTGAGATTATCCGTGATAACCTTGAACGCGGAAGTGGTTCCAGAAATTTTATGAAATCGGATCCCATTTAACCCCATCCGAGGTGATTCGCACACTTCCATTTCCCAGGTTGCATAGCCGTGCGGATTCGAACTGTTCGATTCACAGACGAACAGAAACTTTTTCTGCTGTTCATACGCATAATTGTTCTGATTGAGGACTCGAGTGATCTCCGCGGAAATTTCTTCCGGTGTTCGCTTGCTGGTAATTTTCATATTCCATTTGAATCGTACCACACGAGGTCTTTCCGAGCTGTCTGTTGTACCTATCATAAAACTCATGGGTCTTCTGTCGGATCGCGGTGTTCGAATTGAGTGACGTGTATCCGTGACCACCAGCTGCGTGCCGCCATCCGTATGTGCCCGTGCCCGTTCACCAACTGAGGCCAATATTGAAGGTGGTATCACGGAGAAACTGGACTGTCGTGTGACTGTGGTTTGTTTGTCCTCTGATTCGGCAGTGTGACCGAAATCAAACGGTTTCCTGAATTTTCGAAAAGAATAAAAGTTTAGTTCACCTGAAAATAGTGAATTAAAATGTGAGGATAAACCAAATGATTTGATTTGTTGAATTCTGATTTCCTACTGAGATTAATTTTACTTACTATGAAGTTTTCTGAGAGAGTAGAGAGCACAAATTGATCTTTTAATCTCACTATTTGTCTCATATAGCTATTTGTATGGGGAGATGATCAACAGTTTGACCAGCTCTTTTTTATTATACACCCAAATGTGACGAACAGCAGACAGGGCGAACCCCATGGTCACGAGAACCTGCTATTCAGTCGTGGAAACAGGCAACCTAAGCACCGGGACTTGGGGTGACTAACCACATAAGACCCCGTTAGGTTGGGCGTGATATTGAATCGGACGACAGCAAAAAATCACCTACTACCCAAGTTGGGTGGCGGTGGTACTGCTCGAACCTCGAACCAAAGGGTCTAAGGCACGCCGGTGACAATGACTGAACCACTGCGCCACCACCACCCTACCCAGTGGCCAAGTGGGTAATATCCGTGCGTTCTACACATGAGGTTACAGATTCAGTCGTTAGTTGGGTGAATGGATTCGTACTGCGGATAATACCTAATCAGGTCGAAACAGGTGTCCGGTGCTTCCTAGCTTTTGAGCTTTCGCACTTGGTTTGTTCTATACACAACCAAATAAAGTCTCTATCAACAACGTTTTTATCAATGAACTACTTGAATTTCACTGATAGTTATTCAAAGATTGGTTGTTTATGCATGAAAAACGAAAATAGAACAAGCACACTTACCTTTTACTGAATCGCAGTGCCAAAGAACGAAAAAATCCAACCGTGGAGTTCTCCGGAGATTCATGATCGTTCGAACCACTAACCGATTGCGGTTCATTCACGGTGGGTGGTGTGAAAGCTCGAGTGATATCAAACTCTCTACTGAACCTCTTGCTGCCAACGGAAATTTGGGAATTCGGACGACTGGCTGAGGACGATTTTCCACCCAGTCTGATTGATGCTCCTCTCTGTGGGACGCTTGAGGATTCCGGTTTTGGGTTCCGATCCACACTGGGCATTTGAATATAGGGTAGGGGGTCTCGTTCAGAAGTGGAATCTGGTTTGTCCAGTATTGGTCTGGAGCTGAAACACCCGAAGACACAAATTGCTATTACTGATTAAAAAAGTGTTATTTGGGATGCAAAGTTTACATAATGGTTGCCTAATTACACGGGGCAAATTGTTTTAGATTAGCAGAAGTACTGAGGAGATTGGACAGAATTTGGTGCCAAAACGAACATTCTCCAGCCTCCACTAGCCCAGTATGCAATTCTCTTCCTACTGGTTTCGCTAATGGGGGTCAATAAATTATCCCATTTAATGCAACTACTGGCATTCTCCGTTGAAACAAATGAACACTAATTATGCATAAAGAATGGTTTATTAATTCGCGTATAGTTATTCTAAACCTGAATGATGAATCCCGTCTGCAGTAAACAGGGAGGTAACAGCAAGTCACGTCAAAAGCATTCACTGATTCGACCTGAAACAGCATTCTGTGCACACTCACCGTTTCGAAAATCGTGATGTAAAACTTCGGAAAAATCCGCGGGTTTTATTCAAATCTTTCGCAGGATATTCTTCTTTTTCCAGTACATCTTGCTCCAGTGTGGTCAGATTTGATCGTGCAGTTGCAACTACCGTATCCTTATTCTCTCCTATTCCGGGCACTCCATCTTTATCGTAGATTTGTTGTTCCAGACGAGATCGATTGGTGCAGTGCACCGTCTGACGAATAGGATCGAGTCGTTCAAACGGCGCGCGTATTTTCTCGTGAATCTTTAATTCCAAAGGATTCAACGGCTCGATACTTCTGTCTGTCGGTTGCTGTTTTACCGGTATTCTGAAGAGAAATCACATGAATAACAGCGGTTATCAAAACTGTTCTGGTAACCCGTGCCTCGGCCTCATTCATATTGACCAACTGATATAAAGATGTGAGTTCTTTGGGCAGTGGTGACCCGGTGGTAAAGTCACCAAATTATCACCCTGGGATGTGTTCGAATCCCACCACCACAGCCTGAATTTCCCCATTTTGTGTTGCATGACAGCCCTTGGATCGGTAGCTTCCCGCTCCCTGAAATTCGTATCTTTGTTTATTCAATAAAAGGAAGTAAAATAAAAAAGAGAAAAAAGAACTTTCTCATTTGTTTATTCCATTAGTTTTTTTAATATATTGAGCTATGAAGGCCCCGGTTCTCCGTTATTTTGCTGTGAAAAGACCAGTTATACGCACACAGTGGGATTGTAAACGGGCAGCATGGCCCCAAGGCTCACACGTTACTATGTGGAACGACTCAAGCTGACGGTTTGGCATCGACACAACGGAAGCTTAGAATGGTAAAAATATATTTTTGGAAAAGTCCATTAGATATACAAGAAACCGGGTTTGCTCAGAGTGCGATTCGCCTAAACCACTTGCATCCTTGGTGTATCAAAGTTTACTGTAACGGTAACCAAACCATGTGTATTACTTTTGGCCAAAAAGGCGATCAAGTGCGATGCAAACTTGTGATTCCATTTGGGTTTTCTGAGTGTAGAAACCCGTTCTAAAATCGGCTTCAAGATGAACAACGTAGAAACTATTTTATAGGGGTTTACAAATGCCTGCGAATAGCTGTATTACTATTCCTACCGATAGATCTGATTAAGTGCTTCGAATAAAATGGCTGTACACTTTTTACAGGTGAAAAGTATTACTTTGTGCATATCTACTGTAAGGACGAATAATCAAACCCAAAATTGCATACTTTGGGCTCTCTTTATCAGGTTTGCGTGATGTCCGACTGTGTCCGGGTTCAACTCGCAAATTGAAATTCTCCTTCTCACGTCCTTTCGAATCAGTCTTGGCGATCGCCCCGTTTTGTATGGCTAATCCGGCTGTTGGGTACCAGTGGATTGTGGAATTTCTTTGAGGCGACGCCGGTTTATCTTCTACAACTGATGGATCAGGCTTTTTGTCTGGCGTGCCATTGAGTTCTGTGGAATTCAAAAAAAGAGAGAAAAGGGACATGAATAGTTTCAGTCGAATGTAGTTCAAACGGCTGAGCTGTTTTTAATTTAGGGAGAATCTGTCTAAGCTGACCAATTGTTACGTGTAAACTAGCTCAAAGCCAGGCTGTTTACTGCGGTTTGTCCGACATAAAAGTCATTGAGGGAGGGCTTTCTCATGAAAATAAATATAATTACGACTGAAACAATGTAAAGAGTATGAGTCCCCAACACAGTATTTTCACATCACGCCAGAAAATAGGTTTTCCTGGAAAACAAAAGGTTTGTTGTCTGCGACGCTATTACAGTTCTTAATATCACAAATTTCTCCGCCTGGTTGAATGACTGTCGTCGTTCACTTCCGACTTCTGCGAAACCATTGCA